TCTGTCTCTCTCTCTGTCTGTCTCTCTCTCTCTCTCTCTCTCTCTCTCTCTCTCTCTCTCTCTCTCTCTCTCACTCTCCTTGCCACCACCTTCGCCCTCTCTCTGTCTGTCGGCCTCTGCCATTCTCTCTCCATCCCTTCCCCCCCGCGCGTCTCTCTGCTGTGCCCATCCGCTTTCGACGGCGGTGGCGACCGTGTTGCTGTGCGGAACGGAATGGGCTTGTAATGGAATGGAACAAAATGTATTGGAACGAAAACGAAACGGCATGGGCTTCTAATGGAACGAAAACGGATGGAATGGGATTCGAATGTGGAATGGAACGAACACGAAACGGTTTTGGAAATCAGAGCGCGGCGAGTCCGTCCACGCGCGTGCGGAAGAGATGGAGTTGGAGCTGGAGAAGCTGGAGAGGCGTTGCCGCTCGTCGGAGAAGGAGGTCGAAGCCCAAAAGGAGCTCATCAACGTGAGGAATGAAAAAGAGAAGAATGCACCTACTAAGGAAAAGAGCAAACGATCCCCTCGAGGCCCAAAAGGAGCTCATCAACGTCAAGGAAGATACAAGAAAACGATTAAGAAAGAAAAATTCTCGTGAATAAGATAAAAGCAAACGACCCCATTGAGGCCGAGAGGGAGCTCGCATCAATGTGAGGAAAGAGAAAAAGAGAATGATCCTCATAAGGAAAAAGCAAAGCGATACCTGAACGGAAGGGTCAGAGAAAAACAATCGCTATTTTAGGAAAGAAGACAACGATCTCACCGAGGAAAGACGAGAACGATCCCTATCAGGAAAGAAGACAACGATCCCGTTAAGGAAAGAAGAGAACGATCCCCATAAGGAAATAAAATAATGATACCTACCAGGAAAGAAAAAACCATTCAGTTAAGGAAAGAAGAAACGATCCCCCCAAAAGGAATACTCGAGACTTTTCAGAAGAACGTGTGTTCGTTGTGCCCTCATTACGGGGATGGTGATTGTGAGGGTTTCCATGCCAGGCGTGTTAGTCGGCTTCAGTCGGCGTTTCGCAGGAACCGAACCGGGAAACAGCACGGTGTGTTGGTGCACGATCTGCGCGTTGGGCACTCTTTTTTTGTGGCTATATGGTACGCTCTTTCCTATGACGTGTCTATTAGCCCGCGGGTGGCATATTGGTGCCGCATTCGTGTTGCAGCTGAAGGTGTGACCCGCTGGCTTTGACTTTACCATGTCCACGGTTCTAGTGCTGGATGCGCCTCCTCTCCTCTGGTGCGGACGTGTCTAGAGAGGTGTCATGAAACAACTCCATTGATTTCGGACACGCGCATTCTGAGACCAACGCCACGATCCTAGTCCTGGATGCGCCTCCTGTCCTCTGGTGCGGATGTATCTAGAAAGATGTCATTAACACAGCACCATTGACTTCGGACACGCACGTTCTTAGCAACCTGCCTGGCAGAAATTGCTCTGCTACACGCTACAGGGATGACTAACCGCATTGTTAACGCGCCCAACAGCGGGAGAAGCTTTATTTTGCGAATTCACCCCATTCCACCGCTATTGTCGCCCCCCCCCCCCTCCCCCCCCGCGCACTCCCACTGTGCCTTCTCCCTTTTTGCCGATCCATGGGCATCTCTCTTGCATCTCATGTCTGTCTGTGTTTTCCCCTTGTCACTGCTGTGTCTGGCATCTATCTCATGCCTGTCTTTTCTTGCCTGTGTTGTTCCACTCTCGCCTTGTCTGGCATCTATCTCATGTCTGCCTGTATCATTCCCTTGTCACTGCTCTGTCTGGTACTTGTGTCATGCATTTTCCCGCTGTCATCGTGTCTTGGTACCCGGTGTTTTGTTGTAATCATTGTGCGACGACGGGCACCGCGACAAAAAAAAGTCGTACGAGCGAGACACCTTCCGCAAGCCCGCGGGCGAGACCTGGCTCTCCGACCACGCCGCCCTCGAGTCGGCGCTGGCTGCGGCCAAGGAAGAGGCCAAGAGCCTCAGAAGGGCGGCGGAGGGGCAGGTTTCCGCGCTGGAGGCGGGGCGTCTCAGGGGGCGCGCGGCCAAGGCGGAGGCGGCCCTCGGGGAGGCGATCGCCGAACGGTTAGAATTTGAACTTTTTTTGTAGTCTGTTGCGGTCTGCTTTGTTGTTGGTGGTTTTGATTGTGGTTGCTGTGTTCATTTCATTCTGGTCGGGTGCGTTTGGTGATCGCGGGACGAGAAGTGACGGCAACAAGCCATGTATTCGCTAAACGGAAGAAAGTGGCTTTCCGTTCCTTTTGTTTTGAGATCAACTCTTTTTCAACAACCGAATTAATAGAGTGCGATTATCACGGCGATCGAGTTATCTTTTTACCAATGTTCTCCTGTAGTTGTGTGCTTCCGTCCGCTTTTCCTCGTTGTCGAAGGGCACTTCCCTTGATGAGCACACACGTTGTGTTCCGGGTTTGGTGAAAAGATGAGTCGCCCGCAATCGGCAACACGTGGACCGCTTTGTTCGCCTCATCACTAACTATAGCGGAAGAAGCCTCGCCTGAGTCGGATCTGCCATAGACGCCGCCCTCTTTCGCAATGCGCAACATGTGCCACGTTTTTCTCCGGCTGGTATTTTGATGGGATGAACAGGGACCAAGCGATTAAAGCTGCCGAGCGGTATGGCGACGCGCTCGCTATGGCTGAAAAGGAAGCTGCGAATGGTACCGGCGGGCAGAAGGGGAAGGTGATGGTAAAGGTGCTAGATGTACGGAGGGGGGTGTACTCATGTAAACGCATGCCGTAATCGGTGCACCCGTCTGGTCTGACACACGGGCGTTGTGTGCAGTGCTCCGTTAACGTTAACGTTAACGTTAACGTTCACGTTAACGTTAACAGTGTCATGACATCGTGCTTCTCGAAACCTCGGACTGTTGTTTTTTTGCTTTTTCTGAGGGTGCTTGCGTTTTTTCGTTCAATTCGTGTGTCCGTTTTCGCTTTGACACCCCGTTTGTTTCCTGTTTGCCCCCTCCCCCTCCCCCCCCCCCCCCCCCCCCCCCCCCCCCCCCCCCCCCCCCCCCCC